GAGCCCCCCCCCGAAAACCGGATCCCTTGGGATCCAGGGTTCGGGGGGCCCTGGAGGCCCTTCGAAGAGGTCCCCCAGCGCCGCCGGCCGCCGCGCCTGCCGGGGCGCCTTGCCTGGCCATGCCCAGCAGACCCAGTGCGATCAGAGAAGTGATCGAAGAGGCGCAGGGGAGCCCCAAGACAGCGCAAGACGATCTCAAGGCGGCCCACGAGGGCCCCAAGACGGTCCAAGAGCCGCCCAAGACGCCTCAAGAGGTCTTCAGAAGGGCCCCCAAGAGGCAAAAACCGTCCAATTCTCTTGGGCAAACTTACATGTTCAGCATATTCGCTTTTTGTGCCGTGGCACCTCTCACGACGGCGCAGGAAGCCTCCGAGATCGCCCCACGACGGCCCAAGAGGCCCCCGAAAGGGCCCCAAGACTGCCCAAGACGGCCCAAAAGAAGCTTACGAGGCCCCCAAAGGCTCCCAAGAGAGACCCACGAGAGCCAAAAAAAGGCCCAATATGGACCCAAGCAGACCCGTAAAGGACCTGAAATTCCCCATGAAGACCCCAGAGCGGCCCAAGAAGGACCCAAGACAACCCAAACGGGCTTTAGAAGGACCCCCAAGACTGCCCTGAAAGGAGCCCAGGGGGCCTCCAGAGGTCCCCACACCCCGTCAGAGGCATCCGTGAGGCCCCCAAGAGGTTCTCCAACGAGAAGCCACTGGCAAAAAAAACGCGCGGCTGACGGGGAACGGCTTGCAACGCCAGGCGAGAGCGAGGATGAATGAGAGGAACGATGTGAAACGATAAAGCGTTGCTTTCGATTGCCTTGAATTGCGCAACCAGACAACGTGGGCCACGAGAGAACCCGTGGACCACGTCATTCCTTTGCATGGTCGCGCGTCTTCCAGAAGGCGTCTTCTTACGAAATACACCAAACCGACCCGAATCCCGGGTTTATGACAGAATACCCCAGAAAATCCGTGGCGACCCTGGGCTCCAGTGCATTTCCAAAGCCCAGGCGGCATTGTTGACACTGCATTTCTTGGCATCAAACGGCACTGCTTGGCAGTGCGTTGCTTTTTGTTTGGAACTCCTTCGCACGGTCGACGCGCAGGCCGTTGCGACACCAGCCTGTGCAGGATCCAACGAAGAAGGCACGCGATTTTGGTTCAACGTTCTTCAGAGCCTGCAGGTGGCGTTCTCGTCGCCACGTCATCGGGCACGCCTCGAAATTCGAGTCCGAACGCACCCACAGAAGAGCCCAGATGGCGCACGAGCATGTACATCGAGGGCAAAACCCGAGAAGAAACGGGCAAGGGGACTTGAGCACGGAAACGGCCCAATTTCAACGGCCAGAAAGGACGACGCCAAGTGCCAACAGATCCAAAGCTTGAATGACCAAAGTGCGCGGCGCGAAGCGCCAACGCTGTCTTGTGTATGTGTGTGTTTTTGTTGCGCGTGCGTGTGCGCGTGCACGCGCGTGTGCGCGCGTGCGTGTGCGTGTTCGCGCGTGCGCGTGCTTGTGCGAGCGTGCGCGTGCATGCGCGCGCGTGTGTGCGTGTGCGCGCGTGCTCGTGCGCGTGCATGGGCGCGTGTGCGCGCGTGCGAGAGTGCGCGCGAGCGCGCGCGCGCGCGTGCGCGCGTGTGCGCGTCTGCACGAGTGCACGTGTGCGTGTGTGCGCGTGTGCGCGTGCGCGTGTTCGCGTGCGCGTGTGCGCGTGTGCGCGTGCGCGCGCGTGCGCGTGTGCGCGCGTGCGTGTGCGAGCGTGCGCGTGTGCGCGCGTGCGCGCGCGCGTGTGAAAGCGTGCGCGCTGCGCGTGTGCGCGTGAACTCGTATGCACGCGCGCGCACGCGTGTGCGCGTGTGCGCGTGTGCACGCGCGCGTGAGCGCGTGCGCGTGTGCGCGCGTGCATGCGTGCGCGCGTGCGCGTGTCCGCGTGTGCGCGTGTGCGCGTGTGCGCGTAAGGGCGTGCGCGTGTGCGCGCGCGTGCGCGTGCGCGTGCGCGCGCGCGTGCGTCTGCGCGTGCGCGTGTGCGCGTGCGTGCGCACGTGCGAGTGCGCGTGCGTGTGCGTGTGCACGTACGCGCGCGCGCGTGCGTGTGCGTGTGCGTGCGCGCGTGCGCGTGCGTGTGCGTGTGCGCGTGCTTGTGCGTGTGCGTGTGCGTGTGCGTGTGCGTCTGCGCATGCGCGTGCGTGTGCATATGTGTGTGAACGTGTGCCCGTGTACGCGCGTGTACACGCGGGTGCGAGTGTGTACGTGTGTGTACGAATGTGTACGCGCGCGTACGCATGTGCAAGCGCGTGTACTCGTGCGTGTGTGTATGTGTATGTGCACGTGCGTAGGTGTAGGTGTGTGTATGTGTCGATGTGTGTGTGTGCGTATGTGTGTATGTATATGTATGTATGAGGGGGCGGATGTGCGTACGAAGGTGTATGTGGATTCTGGTGTTTGTGCCTGCATGTGTGGATGTGTGTGCGTACGTGTGTATATGTGTGTGCACGCTTATGCGTGTATGCGTATGTGTGTGTGCATGTGTATGTGCATGTGTATGTGTGTATGTCTGTGTGTATGTGTGTATGTGTGTATGTGTGTGTGGGTGAATGTGTGTGTGTTTGTGTGCCTGTATGTGTATGTGTTTGTGTGTATGCGTGTATGTGTGTACGCGCGTGTGTGTGCATGTGTATGTGTGTGTATGTGTACGTGTATGTGTGCACGGGTGTTCGCGTACGAGTGCATGTGTATACGTGTATGGCTATGTGTTTATGTGTATGCGTGTACTGTATGACTGCGTACGCGCGTATGTGCGTATGTGTGTATGGTGGTGTGTACGTGCGCATGTCTGTATGTGAGCTGTATGTATGCATGTGTGTATGTGTATGTGTGTATGAATATATATATATATATATATATATATATATGTGTGTGAGTGTGTAGGTGTGTATGTGTGTATGTCGGCGTGTATGCGCGTGTATGCGTGTGCATGTGTGTACGTGTGTAGGTGTGGATGTGTGTCTGTGTGTATGTGTGTGCGTACGCGTCTATGTGTGTATGTGTGAACGTGTGAATGTGAGCATGTGTGTATGTGTGCATGTGTGTCTGTGTACACGGGTGTGTGTGTGTGTGCATGCGTGCATGTGCGTATGATTATGAGTATGTGTATGTGTATGTGTATGTGTATGAGGATGAACATGTATGTGTGTATGTGTGTATGTCTGTCTGTGTATTTGTGTGCATGCGTGCATGTGTGTATGTGAGTATGTGTGAGTGTGTGTATGTGTACAAGTGTATGGGCGTGTATGTGTGAAGATGTATGTGTGGATGGTTGTGCGTAAGTGTACGTGTGGATATGTGCATGTGTGCATGTGTATGTGCGCATGTGTATGTGTATGTGTCTGTGTACGTACGTATGTGTATGTGTATATGTGTGTATGTGCGTACGTGTGCATGTTCGGCACCTCGCATCCTCACTCCGTATCAGCCCAGGTCGCGCGCGAACGCAAGCAATGCGGGCGGCGGTGGGTGAGGGGGAGGTGCACGGGCGGGGCACGGTCCTCAGCGCAGCCAGCCCTTACCACCACCCACCCGCAGCTCTCTGAATGCTCCGGTGCACCCTGGACCTGCCCCCCTGGGCACACCGACGCTCACACGACCCGCGAGCAACGCACGACGAAGTCCTGTCACAGCGCAAGGCGCCCACCAGCCAGGGACGTGCCCGCGTGGTTGCCGCTGTCAGGTTTGGAAGGAAGACCAGGCGTGATAGGGCAGCACCTGCACCGCGCGACACCGCACCAGGCTCGCGCGAGCATGTGGGAGCGCGGGTGGGTGAGAGAGTGCGCGCCTTGAGCCAGTGTGTGTCTAACCCGTCCGGGGAGGAGGGAGGGAGGGGAGGAGGGGGGAGAACGACAAGGGGGGGGCGGAAAGGAAAAAGGAGAGCCAAACTCCAAAAAACGGCCGTGAGCACGCATACACAGACGCATCACAGCGCAGCACGGCACGGGGAGCCGTCCGTGTGCGTGTGTGCTCCACATCACATCACATGCACAGCGCAGCACGACCGCGCGTGTGCGTGTGTGGCAGCACATCGCAGCACAGCACAGCACATCTCGACACACCACAGCACGACACAACACAACACCGCACATCATATCACATCACAACACAGCATTTTGCGTGGTGTGTGTGTGGTGTGTTTGGCGTAGTTGGTGTGTGGTGTGTGTGTGATGTGTGGTGTGTGGTGTGTGTGTGTGGGGTGTGAGCATTGTGTGTGTTGTGTGTTGTGTGTTGTGTGATGTGTGTGTGTGTTGTGTGTTGCGAGTGTTGTGTGTGCTGTGCGTGCAGTGTGCGGTTGCTGTGTGTTATGTGCGTTGTGTGTTGTGTGTAGTGTGCGTTGTGTGTGCTGTGTGTGCGGTGTGTGTGCTGTGTGTTTTGTATTGTCTGTTGTGTCTGTTGTGTGATGTGTGTGTGTCTTGTGTGTTGTGTGTGCTGTGTGTCTGTTGTGTGTGCTGTGTGTGTTGGGTGTGCTCTGTCTGTGTGTTGTGTGTACTGTGTTTGTTGTGTCTGGTGCGGTGCGTGCTGTGTGTTGTGAGTGTTGTGGTGGTTGTGTGGTGAGTGTTCTTTGTGTTGTGTGTTGCGTCTGTGTCGTGTGTGCTGTGTGGTGTGTGTTGTGTAGGTTGCGCGCGTGGTGTGTGTGTTGTGTGTGCTGTGTGCTGTGTGTTGTGTGCTGTGTGTTGTGTGTCTGTGTGTCCACCACCGTGCCGCTGGGCACGGAGTGGGTGTGTCCTCAGGGCCTTTGCCCAGTCCCTTAAGCAATCCTGGGGAGTCTGCAAAAGGGGCCCGGACCCCAAATCGCCAACTCTCGGGGCGTCCCGCGTGCCCCCATGGGGCGTCCCGCGGCTTCTCGCGTGACTTCTTCGGAGCCAGGAGGGCCTCAAGACGGGCCAAGAAGGCTCCAAGAGGCCCCGAAGACGGTCCAAGAGGGCCCTGAGTCGCCAAACGATCGGCACAAGAAGCCCAAGACGGCCCGAAGACGGCCCAAGAGCCTCCAAGACGCCGCAAGAGGCCTCCAAGAGGCCTCCCGAGAGAGCCCCAGGAGGCATGAATCATTGCTGCTCCTGAGGTTGTTGGAAGATTTCGGCGTTCTCGCCTTTTCTGGTTTCCGACTCTCCAAGACGGCCCAAGAGGCCCCCAAGAACACACCAAGTCGGCCCAAGAGGCCGCCGAGATTGCCCTAAGACGGCCCAAGAGGCCTCCAAGTGGGCCCCAAGACGGCCTGAGAGCGCCCCGAGACGGCCCAAGAGGCGCCCAAGACGGCCCAAGAGGGCCCCACGACGGCCCCAAAAGGGGCCCAAGAGAGGGAACACGAATCGAAAATCCGAGCCTTCCGCCCCAGAAGGCGCCCAAGAGGCCCCAGGAGGCCCCCAAGAGGCCCTCAAGAGGCCTCCAAGAGGCCCTCAAGAGGCCCAAAGGAGGCATCCAAGAGGCCCTCAAGAGGCCCAAAAAGAGGCCCCAAAACGGCTCCAAGAAAACTCCGAAGCTGCCTCCGAGAGGCACCCGAGTGCCCCCGCACGAGATCCCAACGAACATCCAATGGGCGTCATAACCACAACCCAGGCACGATGGCGGGATGGGCCGAAGGCCAGTCGATGGTACAGTCTAAGACAGCATTGGCGCTTCGCGCCATACACCTTGGTCTTTCAAGGTTGACATACAAGAGTAAGGAGAAGAAGGTAAGAAGTAGCATTAACGATAATTCCTTGTTGCCTTTACCGGCATCGTCGTTCAAATAATGTGATTCCGCATCCTTCCCTTATGGTTCCTCTTCCTCATTCTCGCCCTACCCGCGAACCCTCATCCATCCTCCTCCGCTCTTGTCGTGGAGGCTCCTCCTTGGAGAGCACCCTGGAGGCCTCACGAAAGTGTTCAAGGCCTTCTTGGGGGCTTCTGGAGGCCTCCTTGGCGACTGTTGGGGGGCCTCTGGGGGCTTCCTCGGGCCACCCTGCTTCTAACCTCGGCCGACCCGGTCACGATTTCGAGTGCTTCGGGGGGGTCTTGGGGCCATCCTGGGCCGTGATAAGGCTCTCTTCGTGCCCCCTTGGGGCCCTGTCGGGCCGTCTTGGGGACTCTCTTGGACTGTCTGGAAGCAGGTTTAAGTCGTTTGAGGGCGATGTTCGGGTCTTCTGGGCGCTCTCAGACGCCCTGAATACCGAAGAACCAAGCATTCCCAATCTTAAAAGCCATGGCAAGTCTTTATTTGTTTGCGTTTCGAGGGTCTTTGCTTCGTCTTCGGGCGCCTGGTGGGTGGCTGGGGCCGCTTGGGGCTCTCGCGGGGCCGTTCGGTCGCCCTCCTGACCAACTTGGGCGATTCTCTGATGTCATGTGTCGTGGCCGACCGTCTGTGTTGAGGCAGCTGCGACGTACTGCCAGAGGCATTGCTGCCACAAGCCCACCCTTGAGAGGTAGATCTGTTTCTCCGACCTCCCCCTCCGTCGCCGCCCGCGTCTCTGACATGACACCGTCTGCTGGTTCTGTGAAGGTCCTCCTCCTCCTCCTCCTCCTCCTCCTCCTCCTCCTCCTCCTCTTCCTCCTCCTCCTCCTCCTCCCCTCCTCCTCCTCCCTCCCTCCTCCTCCTCCTCCTCCTCCTCCTCCTCCTCCTCCTCCTTACTGCGATGCCCCCCGTATGCCTGAGATTGCCCGACGAGCTCCGAATGTTTCTTCTCAGCGCCACTGTCTTCTCTCGATCCATTCACCGCGGAGCACGCATATATTGAGCGCACGGGCGCCACTGCTACAGCCCCACCAGCCGCATCGGCAGAACCTGCCACATATACACAACGCTTCCTAAGGTAGCCCGGCCTTGCAAGGTTGGGCCGCTCCACCAGCAGGCGCATACATTACAATAAGCGTCAACTGCACAATGGCAGCAAGGACTCCGATGACATTTGGCACCCACACCCATGGATCACTGTTCGCCAAGCCGAAGCCACCTGTCGCCATTGACTGGATGAAGTTCCAGAGACAGAGATCTAATGGCCAAGATCTTGTTGAGCGAGTATGCAGAACTTCTGGTAGGGTCTTGAAGGGGGATAGCGCTATCTGAGCAGAGCCTACAGATCCCAAGAGACCCAACATGAAGACAGCAGATCGCCCAAGCAACCAGCACATAGCAAACTCGCAGCACAGAAGAATGCACCCAAACTGAAGATAACGTATCAGTGATAACCGCCTCGGGTCCTCAGCAGGGACATACTGAAAGTAGCTCCAAATGTAGAAGAGCCCCATAACGACACCTGGACCGTTGGCTGCCACCATCGTCAAGAGCGTCCTATCGTGCAGCACCCATGCTGAGAACGCCCCGTAGATGCACCACAGGCTGGCACCAGCCAGTACTGAGAAGTACGGATAACCATCGTACCGCTTCACGCTCTTGTCTTTCCTGATCTCCAGTGTGGACGGCAACGGCGACAGCTGCAGGGCAATGGTTGTTGCGACTGCTGCTCCCGAAAGCGGCCGCAAGTACTCGTGCAGTTTCTGCTGAATGCTGGAGGAGACTGATAACAAACCGAACTCGACCCGCTCGAACTGCCGCGAACTTGCACTGGGGGCTACCTGCTTGCCTTGTGGATCAACGCCCAAGGAGCTCTGACCGTGAACGTGACTCGCTTCTGCAATCATCAGTTCCAAGACCAAGACAGATGCCATGGCCCGCAGATACCATGCCTGCATTGGTGCTGTAACACAGAGAGGCGCTCTACATCTACGTTACGCTGAGAAAGGAATTCTGGCCAAAATGCCTGTGGACGGACGACCACTCGAAACGGACAGAGGCCACCGCGACATGCTGCATGTGCCCGAGACTGTAGACGGCGCCCAAGCTGCAGGGCAGATCGAGGAATTTCACATCGAAAGCGAAGCATGGTCTGCAGCAACTCGATCGAATATGTGAGGTCACGGCACATGTCGAGGCAACGACATCTGAAGTTTAAGTTGACTCCGGTACGCGCAGTTTGCCACACCTGCAGGTCCTACTGATGTGCGACTTGGCTCTGCCATCCCGCCCTGCAGCGGTGAGCCTAACAGTGATCAGACTGAGTGTCTGCCTGAGCTCCCAGCGGGCCTTCCAGCTACCCCGCAACACCCCAGACGTACCTGCGCCAAGACGGTCTCGAGACAGACGACCCAAGACGACGCCGAGGCGGCCCAAAGACAGCCGAGGACGCCTCCGAGGCAACTCAGCGGACCCCTTATGGGGCTCCCACGGGTTGCACCCATGATCACATGATGGCTGGGGCTAGTTGATTCTGGGGCTCGAGCTTCTGCCGAGCCAGCTTGTGAAGGCCCCAGGGCCCCGCGAAAGCCCCCAGAGGCCGAACTCGGCCAGAGCCCTTCCCGTCATGATTCTTGCACGACGCGGGTATGCCTGGGGGCCGCTCGGGACGGGCCGAGCCTGGCCCGGGGCGGTTCCCGCCGAGCGCCGCCTCCGAGGTGGGCCCGCGCCTCCTCGCTGGGCCGCGCGGCACGGCCGACGGCGCCCAGAGCAAAAAACATCATCGAAATACGCGATTCGTACTTTCTTAAAAATACTCCTTAAAAAGATGATATGAATGTTTTTTTTAATACGTTTAACAATACTTTCAAAATACTTTCTTAAAAATACATGTTGAAAAAGGATTGACAGGAAGACGCATGGGAAATCAATGTGCAAGCTCCCAGGGGGGACAGCTGAAGGAAGAAACCGTGCTTTGTGCTTCTCCCATCCGACGACCGCGCGTTCCCTGCGAGGGGCGGTGCCCACGAGCTGCACCAGGCAGGCCCGGAGCCGCGAGAAGGCCAGGGCTGCAAGAGGCGAGCCCCGCTCGGAGCCTTGGCTTTTTTGCAGAAAAATCGCACAGTGTTATCACAAGAAGGATGAGGACGAGGACGAGGAGGAGGAGGAGGAGGAGGGAAGGAAGAGGAGGAGGAGGAGGAGGAGGACGAGGAGGACGAGGAAGAGGAGGAGGAGGAGGAGGGAAGGAAAAGAAAATGTTGCAACAACCACGCACGAACCAGAACAAGAAAACGTTCCCCCCCTTCCGCCCGGCATCAACAGTAGAAAATACTGCTTCGTAGGAAACGGTTTCAAAATGTGTCCGGCTCCGCTTCTGAGGAAGCACTTCCATATCAAGGCCGCGGGAGGAAAAGGGTCATGCGAAGTGACTCTTCGACGCTTGTTGCTAAGTTTTCCCTCCAACGCCATCCAAGGGCTGCGAAGAGCTCCCTGTCATAGACGAACTACAAACTGAACGAACATACACTGTGGGATCTCCGCGCGGACCTCTTGGATCGGCGTTGGACCCGCTCCCTGGCGCGCGGAGCGCGCTCCGGAGGCGCCGCCAGGGAGGCCCAGCGCAGATCCCAAGGAATCCGAGCGCAGCTCCGAAAGTGTATGTTTGTGTTGTTTTGTTTTTCGATGGCAAGCACCTCAGAGGCCAAGAGCGGCCGCTCTGAAAGGGCGCCCTCCAAGCAGTCAAAGAAGCGAGCTGGACTGCACCCCGGAGGGCCTGACCAGAGCGCAGCTGCGAGGCCGGGAGGGTTTCGGGAACCTTGACTTGGCGAACAGAAAACAGAACGCTGGCCTCGGGGGCCCTGGTGGCCCAAGCCATCGGCGGCGAGCTCATGAGGCAGGGGACTCCTCGGAAAGCCTCGCGCCTTCCGAGAAGCTGTGGGGGCACTTCTCGAAAAGGCCCGAGGCCGTCCGAGCCTGCTGAGGAGGCCCGCCGCCTCTCGCGCCCCCCCTGTGCCCGCCGCCGAACCACGCAGGAGGAGGAGAAGGAGGAGGGGGAGGAGGAGGAGGAGGAGGAGGAGGAGGAGGAGGAGGAGGAGGAGGAGGAGGAGGAGAGGAGGAGGGGAGGAGGAGGGAGGAGGAGGGGAGGAGGAGGAGGAGGAGGAGGAGGAGGAGGAGGAGGAGGAGGAGGAGGAGGAGGAGGAGGAGGAGGAGGAGGAGGAGGGGGAGTAGGAGGAGGAGGAGCACGGGGAGGAGGAGGAGGAGGAGGAGGAGGAGGAGGAGGAGCGAAGAGAGAGCTGGCCTCAGGGGGCCCTGGTGGCCCAACCGGGGCCCCCGGAGCAGGGCGGGACCGGGGTCGAGAGCTTCTCGCTCCTGTCGTGCCCAGAGCTCCGACGTCCCCCAGGCATCCAGGCGCCTCGAAAAAGCGGGGGCGGAAGGAGGAGGAGGAGGAGGAGCACGGGGAGGAGGAGGAGGAGGAGGAGGAGGAGGAGCAGGAGGAGGAACGGCTGTTTTTCATCGTGTTCGGCCTGGCAGGGTCCGTACTGGGCCCTGGGACTGTCAAAAACGACTCGGGATGAAAAGCCTGTCCCGGCGAGAAGGTCGAGAGGTCGAGGGCCCATGCCTCGACAGAACCGAGACGTCGGATGTCCAGGCGTGGCGAGAACTTCCAACCCCAAACGTCGCGATTTCTTCACAGTTGCTCATACGTGTTATGTTCCTTATTATTACTGTTGCTGTTAGTACTATTGGTACTATTCTTATTAGTACTCTAAATACTATCTTTAGATCAGTATTACTCATATGCTTCGCATGCTTATAATTATGAATATGATTTGTTCCCTACCTAGGCTCTGCCTAGAAGGGTTCTTACTCTCTTAGCTTAAAGGGGCCGGGCAGTGCAAAGCGCCCCGGGCGGTTCCCCCAGTCCCCTGGGAGCGGTTCCCCCCAGTCCCCTGGGAGCTTTAGCTTTAGCTTTAGCTTTAGCTTTAGCTTTAGCTTTAGGCTTAGCTTTAGCTTAGCTTTAGCTTAGCTTTAGCTGATATTTAGCTTAACTGTAGCTTAGCTTTAGCTTAGATTTAGTTTAGCTTATACTTAGATGTACCTCAGCTTTAGCTTAGGTTTAGCTTAGCTTTAGCTTAGCTTTAGCTTAGCTTTAGCTTAGCTTTAGCTTAGCTTTAACTTCAGCTTATGTTTAGCTTAGAGTTAGCTTACATGTAGCTTAGCGTTAGTTTAGCTTTAGCTTAGCTTTAGCTTAGCTTTAGCTTAACTTTAGTTTAGCTTTAGCTTAGTTTTAGCTTAGCTGCTGCATAGCTTTAGCTTAGCTTTAGCTTAGATTTGGCTCAGCTGTAGCTTAGCTGTAGCTTACCTTTTAGCTTAGCTTTAGCTTAGCTTTAGCTTAGATTTAGCTTGGCTTTAGCTTAGCTTTACTACTACTACTACTACTACTACTACTACTACTACTACTACTACTACTACTACTACTACTACTACTACTAGTACTACTACTAATGCTGCTTTCCTAGGGGCTCCAACTCCTAGGTAGGGTCGCACTGGGATTATTTATTATCATGATTCTTCTGACTAGTATGACTATGATTGGTTATGGTTCCCTTCTGCTTCTTCCACGACAGTAATTTTTGAAAGTAACTCACGAAAGATCTTGGTCGTCCCCATGGCGCCCAATAGCGCACCCAATCGCGCACAGAGCGGACAGAATGCATCTCCCTCACATGGCGCTAGTGGGCGCTTCTGGTTGCTATTGGGCGCTAGTTGAGCGCTACTGGGAGCTAGTGGGCCCAAGTGGGCGCTATCAGACGTTACGTGGGCGCTAGGTGGCGTCATTGAGGGCTGCTGGGCGCCCTTCGCCGATATACACTCAAGTCAAGGCAAGCGGAAGCTTCCGCTATATCCCATTTGAACTTCCCACTCTTCCTGCCTGGAACTCCGACGTCGTCGTGATTGTTTCTGCTTTCACGACGCGAGCTCTGCGCAGGCCTCTGGGGGACGACGGTGGGCCAGGAAAACGTGACCCGAGAGCGGCATGCTCCCTACAGGGCAGTTTTTAATACATGGGATGTTTAAAAATATCGGGTTTTTAGTACATGATTACTGTATGAATTATCCCAGTGCGACCCTACCTAGGAGTTGGAGCCTCTAGGAAAGCAACATTAGCAGCAGCAATAGTGGATGCTGTGATGCGCTATGCTATGCTATGCTATGCTCTGCTATGCTGGGCTAGGCTTGGCTAGGCTAGGGTATGCTCTATGCTATGCTATGCTATGATGCGCTGTGATATGCTAAGAAATGCTATGCTATGCTATGCTATGCTATGATATGTTGCGCTATGATGTGATATGTTATGGTATGCTGAGTTATGTTATGCTATGATATGATTGGTTATGCTATGTTATGCTATGTTGTGCTAATGCTGCCCTGCGCTATGCTGCGCTGCGCTAAGCTAAGCTAAGGTAAGCTAAGTTAAGCTATGCTAAGCTAAGCTAAGCTAAGCCAAGCTAAGCTAAGCTAAGCTAAGCTAAGCTAAGATGAGATAGGCTAAGCTAAACCAATCTAAGCTAAGCTAAGCTAAGCTAAGCAAAGCTAGGCTAGGCAAAGCTAAGCTAAGCTAAGCTAAGTTAAGCTAAGCTAAGCTAAGCTAAGATGAGATAAGCTAAGCTAAGCTACGCTAAGCTAAGCTTAGGCTAAGCTAAGCTGGGTGAACCCAGGGGGCGCAACTGGGGGAACCGCGGGGCGGATCCTGGGGGAACCGCCCGGGGTGGGGCGCATTGCCCGCCCCTTTAAGCATACAGGGTAAGAACCCTTCTAGGCAGAGCCTAGGTAGGGAATAAATGTATGCATGAACTCGTCGTTGTTTTTAATGCTGAATCCGTGCGTTTTTTATTCATGATCCGCACGCGGAGCATGCATTAAAAACGGCACTGTAATGAGACGGTCGGCGAAGGCCGCCCGTCGAACGCCCACCGTGATGCTGCTCGCGCTGCGGACTCCAGGAGGCCTGGACCCCTTCCCGGGCACGGGCTTCTCCCCAACGGAGCCCCGGGGCCTGGTGCGAGGGGCCCCAGAGGCCGACACCGGGACGTCGTGATTTCCCCGCTGCGAAAGTCGGGGGCGTCCAGGATGACGATCGAACAACACGCACCCATACCCATAGGGGGGACGGAGGAGGCTATGGGTGCGTGTTGTCGGATGGGGGTCCCCGCTCGTCGAACGGGAGCTTCCCCCTGGGTCCGACAACTCGCACCCATACCAATAGCCAGTTCCCCTCCTTTCGACCCTCCCATGGGTATGGGTGTGAGTTGTTCGCTCGTCACAAGAGGGGGGCGCCCAAGAGGGGGGGTCGCAGATCATGGCCGGCGGCAGGCGCGGGGCTCGGGGGGGGTGGCCGGGGACGTGCGGAAACAAGAAGGGGCGCCATGAAATCTGGGGAGATCTCATGGCCCCCGCCATGACATCCAACCCCCCTAGTCATCACCCACCCTGGTCATCATCCCTGGGAACGGGTCGGGACCTCCTGGGGTCGACGCGATTGAAAGATCATGGCATCGGGAGCCTGGGTGTTTGGGGGGCGAGAAAGCACCCACTGGCGTCAGCCTGACAAGAAGGAGAGGCCTGCAATAGCGCAGGCCTCCCCCGAGAAGCCCTGACACGCCCGGTCCGAGTGCGACGGGCGACGGGAAGCCGCGCGCCAGGGGGCCAGAACCATGCTCAAGACTGCCCTTACGCTGCCGTCCGTGAAAGGTGATGTGTGCCGAATCCTCGAGGCTTGATGCCAATCGAGAGCCTGACAACCCGCCATCGAACACCTCTGGCGGGCGCCTGCACACAAGCAGATGGCCAAATCTTGTCTCTCCTGTACCACCAAGTCCGGTCGGCGCCACCGGGTCTCCTGCGGCGCGCACAGACACAGGCATACAGACGCGGACGCACGGCCGCAGAGATGCACACAGATAAACACGCAAATACACACACACTCACATACAAACACTTGGGGGTCCCAAAACCGTATGGTGACAGACCCAGCGGTGACCTCGAAATCCGCAAAGGCCTCACCGCACGGTCCGTCACCACACGGTTTTGGGACCCTGGAGGCTCCAGTCGCCCGAGACATCCTCGGAGAACGACCCAAGTCCCAAAACCGTTCGGTGACCCCGAATCCCCACCGACTCACCACACGGTGTGGTCACCACCCCGTTTGGGAGCCCCCGAAACACGCACACACACATACACACACAACTACACACACACACACCCACACACACACGCTTTTGGCGGTCGCAGCCTCGCGCGCGGCGACGAAGCGAAGCTAACTCAGCACGGCGGCCGAAACCTGAGCCAGAGCGCACCAGGAAGCCAGGCCGGGAGCTCCACCGAGGGGCCCAGCACGGCGTCGGCCCAGGCGGGAGCCACGGCCGCGGCAAAGACGGCCTGCCCCAGAAGGCAGGCGGCACACTGGCAGCCGACGTGATGAGCTTCGTACAGTTCGCCGTCTACCCCCGGCCCCAGCTCGCCCGCAGGCTGGAGTTGTGGATGCAATGACACTGGATGAAAAAATGTCGTTTGTATGTCTTCTGCATGCTTTTGACATGCTCGAAACATGTTTATAACATGTCTTAATATTTTAGATACATTACACTAAGCATGTTTTAGACATCTGGAAACTATTTGGCAATACGCCTTGTCCCCATTGATCGTCTTCCACAAGGCTGGAGGATCAGTGTGGCGATGCGTCGCCAGTCGGATTGTGGGCAGCTGGCATCGATGGGCGCTGGCGGGCCTGGAAGCAGTCGTCGAGGAGGCGGGCGCCAGGCGCCCGGCGCCGGCCGGCGGGGGGCCGAGCCGCAGATGTCGGCCGGGCTCGACCAGAGCACTTCCTCCGCGGCAGCAGGCCTTGAGCTGCAGGAGTCCTGACGCCCCGGACCCCAGACCCCCGGCGTCATTCCCCAATCAGAGCTTGCCTCTCTGGGGGTCCTAGCGGATTCGTATGGTCAGGTTAGGTTTGTCGCCGATGTTCGCTGCACGCCCGGGTGCCCGGGTGCCCGGGGGTGCCCGGGTGCCCGGGTGCCTGGGTGCCCCGGCGTGCCTGGGGGTGCCCGGGTGCCCGCCCGGTAGCCCTATGGCCTTATAACCCTAGAGCCTCATAGCCTTATAGCCCTGTAGCCCTATAGCCCTCTAGACTCTAGCCCTATAGCCCTATAGCCCCAATACCTTTATAACCCTATAGCCCTAATAGCTCCATAGCTTTATACCCCTATAACCCTGTAGCCATATAGCCCTATAGCCCTATAGCCCTATAGCCCTCTAGCTCTCTAGCCCTCTAGCCCTATAACCCTATAGCCCTATAGCCTTACAGCCCTATAGCCCTTTAGCCCCTATAGCCCTATATCATTAGAAAAATTATGATTGGGGCTTTTCTCTGGTATCCTGATTTTTCACAACGTCGATCCCCCGAGGTCTGAACCTATTCCCCAGTACCAGTTCTTCATCCTGAATCGTTCGTTGACGGTCCCGGGGCCCAGGAAAGGCCCACAGACACCGAAAATGGCGAAAAACCTCCCGTCATGATTTTTTCAAAACTCGAGGGGGTCTGGGACGGCTGATTGCTTCCGGAATAGCTCCCGCCCGATGCAACGCGCGCGGGGTGGATTCGGAGCCCCTCGGCCCCGGCGCACCGCTGGGAGAGGCCCAGGGCGCCAGCGCCGGCGCCCTGGGCGTTCTCGGCGCGCCGGCGGGCGAACCATTGCCAAGCGGCGGTCTGGGCGAGGTGCTCCCCGTTCCAGCCGCGCGCCTGCAGCCAGGATCGCAGCGGGCCGCGTGGTGCCGCCGCCTCCGCGGCGGGCGTGGCTCGGTGGATCGACCACGGCGGCGAGCGTGCTCTGGCTCCCCCGTCGGGCCCCAGGAGCGGGCCCGCGGGGCGCGAGCAGGGCCGAGAGAGGGCGCCTCTCCCGTGGGCGAGGAGCCCGGGTGAGGGCAGGGACAGGGATCGCGGTGGGGGGCGTAACCACGGCCACGTCAACCCCAGATGAGGAGAACAGCTATCGCGTTGGGAGGAGGGGGTTGGGAGGATGGAGGGCCCAGTGGAGGGCAGTCCACAGGGAACCTTCCGCAAGAAACCCAACCCTGAGACCCCAGGACGTCCATAGTTTTTTGGTGCGGTAACGTCACGCTTTCCATCGCAAAACCATCGAAACCCAAGAAACCCAGGGCACCCTGGAGGCAAGCAGGGTGTTCCTTGGCCTGGGCCTCCACTGCATGAGAAATAGCATCAGGATGCAATGAGCGATACCTTCAGCCGCCTACGAGTGAGGAGATCCTCGTTTCGCCCAACCCCATCCTCCCAGCCCAGTAAGTTAAGTGTCTTCCTGACTGGAAGGGAGGGCGTCGTCGTCCCCGAGATTGGCGGGATGGTGCGTCGGTGGAGCGCCCGACGGCGCTGGCGGGACCTGTTGCGGCGGAAGGGCGACCGCGGTGTCGACCTGCGGAACGCTGAAGGCGCGTTCGAAGACGCCGAACTTTTGACGCAGATCGTGGGAGGCATCGGCTGGCAGGCTCTTGGGAAAAACCGGGGACACCACACGGCCCCGGCACCACGTGGCCGTCGCGCCAGGGTCGAAGTGCACTGGGGCGTGCTCGGAGAGACAGGCCCTCCACAGCTTCCCGGGCCAGCAGCTGCGTGCCGCGTGGGCCGCGTGCGGCCACGGCGTCGATCTCTGACTCGGCCCGGTGGCCTACGGCGGGTTGGCCCCTCGCCCGGGAGGCGGGCGGCGTCGAGCCGCTGGAGACGCTGCAGCCGTCGAGCGGCGCCTCCCGCCCCCGCGCCCCGCAGAGCGGCGCCTTGCCTGCGGAGGTCGCCGCCCCACGGCAGGAGGCCCTGGTCGGCGGGAAGGCCGACGGCGGCGGGCGCGCCGAGGAGCTCCCAGCCTCCCGCCCTGGGGCAGGGCGTGCGCCGATGACCTGGCGGGGCGGGCCCCCTCCCCGGCAAGAGACGAGAAGGGCACCACCCCGGGGACGGGACGCGGGCGTGGGCCTGCCGCGCCGCCGCCGGCGAGCCCACCCCGCTCGGCGAGCTCTGCTGGGTGGGAGGGACGCCCACGCGGTCGCTCGATGGGCCTCCCAGTGGACCTCGTGCAGCAGAGCAGCCTGGTCTCCCGCGGCAGCCTGCAGGAGGAGGGCGCCCTGCTCGCGATCTGTGTCGCGCGGAGGGGCCTCGGCCACCCACAGAACGCTCCAGCCGACGGGGGGCGGGAGGGCGGAGGTGAGGCGGCCTGTCGCGTCCGGACAGCATCGGCACGGAGATGCAACGGCCGTGGAGCACGGCTCCGCGGGCCGCGGGCGTGCGGATGCGTGGGAGGTCGGCGTCGCGTGCAGGGCCTGGTGCAGACCGCGGGAAGTCGGTCGCCACCCGCCACCCTGGCGAAGATCGCCCGGGCACGAGGCCCTGCTCGGCACGTGGGACAGAAGCGAGTCCCCTCCCCCCCCCCCCTGCGCCGTCAGGGGGCGCTCCCTGGGCGGCGGCGGGACGATCCCGGCAGCCGTGGCGGTCGGGGGGGCGGGGGGCGCTTTGGGCGAGGCGGGCGGCGGGCGGTCATTGCCTCTCGCTATGCGCAGGCCCGGGATGGGAAAATCGTGGTGCGCAGCGGGGAAGGTTCTGGGGCCACAGATGATGTAGGGGGGGAGGGGGGGGGCGACCCTGCACTGAAAGCATCCGTGGTCGAAGTAGCCTCCGACCGCGCCGTAGAGCGGCCTGCCGGAGAGCCCCATGCGGGCGAACAAGTTCCCGTACCCGGTGGCTTCCGCACGTTCTGTGGCGGCGAGGGGCCATAACCCCAGAGGCCCCCCGTAAGTCACGAGCCACTTGCCGAGCTGACGGGCCGCAGGCTCGCGGCCGTGGTGCCGTTCGTTCTTACTGAGAACCGCTTCGTAGCCTTCGGCCAGTCCCGGGTACAGCTCCTGCACGTCGGGAGGATGGGCGGCCACAAAACCCCGTGTTCGGTTGATGACCTTGTAAAGGGGCATGAGGTCCCATCACCGAATGTGGAAGTTGTCGTTGTCGAGATAGTGCTGAGGGTGGAGATGGAAGAAGTTCGGGAACACCTCGTCGTCGGTGTCCCCCCGCGACCGGGTCGACGCGGGGGGGGCAGGCCCTGCCAGTGAAGAGCCCACTGCCGTTCCCATGGCGGGGGGACCTCTGCCCACCGCCGAGGCTCGCACACCCGGCGGCCTGCTTGGGGAAGGTGGCGAACCACATCCTGGCTCGGGGGAGCGGTCCCCACCCATGGGCGTCGAGATAGACAAGCTGGCTCTCGTCGTGCAGCCCGAGGCACTGAGGAGGGCGAGTCTCCGCGGGACGCGGGCAGGGTCGACCCCCCTCGCACAGGGCGTGGACCTGTCGCGGGCGCTGGGCCTGGGCCAGCCACCCGATGTGGGGGAGTGCCCAGAAGTGTTTGGAATCGTCGCCGAGGACACAGACGCACACACACACACACACACACACACACACACACACACGCACCCACACACACACACACAAACACACACACACACACACACAAACACACACACACACACACACACACACACACACACACACGCACACACAAACACTTTTGGGCGGTCGCGGCCTCGCACGCAGCGTCGAGGCGAAGAAAGCCACCGAACGGGCGGGCGCGCGCGGGGGGGGGCGGGGGGCACACACACACACACACACACACAGACGTACACACACACACACAAACAGACGTGCACAATAGCTGGCACACAGAAAATAGATTCGAAATGCGTCTCTCCTTCTCTCTCTCTCTCTCTCTCTCTTTCCCTAGGCATGTATCGCCCTCCCTCTCTTTCTTTATGTTTGCTCCTCTTTGTTCCATCCCTCTCTCTCTCTCTCTCTCTGGCGTGCCCACAGACATGCTAGGAGAGGCCATCCATCTCCACCCGCTCCCCCCCGAGCCCCCTCGTGATCTCTCGCTATCTCTCTCTCTCTCTCTCTCTCTCTCTGTATCTCTCTCTCTCTCATTCTCTGTTTGTCTCTCTCTCTCTCTCACTCTCTCTCTCCCTCTCCCTCCGTACATCTGGCCACGTGTACGAAATCAATGTGCTTCTCTGTTTCCCTGCCCCTCTCTCTCTCTCTCTCTCTCTCGCTCGCTTATGTTTTCTTCTCTTCTCAAAGAGGAATGTCCGAGGAGATCCGCTGGCCCCCTTCGGGGCCACCAGGCTGCGAAGGTTCGGCTTCTTCACCCTGCACCTGGTCCTCCCTTCCTCGGTTCGGTACCAGTTCCAGCGCAGCTCCTCTGCGCTCGGGTGTCAGATCCGCCACCGCGCCTCTGGGCATGGAACGGGCATGTCCTTAGGTTGTATCCATAATCCTCTAAACCTCGATCCTCACTCCTAACAAATCTCAAAATCTTTAAGGAGCCACGAGCCCAAATGGCCAAATCTACCAGGGCTTCTCGCGTGCCCTCTGGGGTCTGGCACATCTTCTCGCGTGGCTCTCTCGGGCCAAAGGGGGCCCCAAGACGAGTCAAGAGTGCATCAAGATGCCCTCGACACGGCCCAAAAGGGCCCCGAGACGCACAAAGATGGCCCCAAGACGTGCAAGACGGCCCCAAGACGTTTAAGAAGCCTCCACGACGGCCCAAGAGGCCTCGAGAGCCCCAAAAGGCCAAAAAAAAAATTGTTCCATTCGTTTTTGAAGAATTTGGGCGTTCTCGCCGTTTCGGCTTTCCTGCGCTCCAAGACGGCCCAGGAGGCCCCCAAGATCGCCCCGAGCCGACACCAGAGGCCTCCAAGAGGGCCGCCAGACGGGCCAAGAGGGCTCCAAAACGGCCCAAGAGGATTCCAAGACGGCCCAAGAGGCTTCCAAGACAGTCCCAAGAGGGGTCCAGGAGGGGCACCACGACAAGAAAATTCGAGCCTTCCGACCCGAGAGGGCCCCAGGAGGCCCCAAGAGGGCCCCAAGAGGCCCGAAAAGGCCCCACAAAAGACCTCAAGAGGCACCAAGGGCCCGAAGAGCCAAAAAAGTGCAAGGGACTCCAAAACGGCCTCAAAACGGCCTCCAAGTGGCCCCGGAGAGGCGTCCCGCGACATCCCAGCGAACACTCAGAAGACCTATGACCCACAACCCAGGCACGGTGGCGGGAGGGGTCGAAGGCCATTAGATCCGCCGTCCCCTGTTGGCTTGTCACAGGGGCGCCCAGCGTGCTAGACGCTACCGTTTTTGGTTTTGGTTCTTTTCCAAAAGAACTTCTCCTGGGTCTCTGGCCCAGCCCGCTGGCCACCCGGAAGGGCACACAAGGCCCAGAAACGACCTCAACGTCCACAAACAAATCTTCGGGCCAATGCCTTTCCAGCTCCAAGATGGCCCTAGACGGCCTCCAAGACGGCTCAGATGAGCCGAGATGGCCTCCAAGTTCGCCCAATCTGGTCCAAGATGGCCTCCACGACGGCCCAGGAGGGTCAAAGATGCCTCCAAGTCGGCCCAAGAAGCCTCCAAGACGGCCAAAGAGGCCTCTAAGAGGCCTCCAAGACAGCCCAAGAGGCCTCCCAGAGGTCCTCCAGGAAGGCCCGAAGAGGACAAAATCATTGATTTGCCATAGGATTTTGACGGATTTCGTCATTCGCGCCTTCTCGGCCTTCTGAAGGCCCAAAACGGCCCAAAAGGCCCCAAAGGTCGCCCCAAGATCGCCCAAGAGGCCTCCAAGATGGCCCCATGACGGCCCAAGACACTCCCAAGACGGCCCCAAGAGCCCAAAGACGGCCCAAGAGGCCTCCAACACGCCCAAGATGGTCTTCAAGACGGCCCTGAAGCGCCCGAAGAGGGCCCCAAGTCGGTTCAGGGAGGCCCCCAAGACGGCTTCCGACTGCGTCCGACGGGTCAGGAACGCTCTAAGACGGCCAAAGAGGCCCCCAAGAAGCCCCCAAAGGCCCCCAAGAGGACCCCAAGAGGCCCAGGGAGGCTCCCAAGAAGCCTCCAAAAGGCCCCCCGGAAGCTACGCAGAGGCCTCCCAAGAGGCCTCCCACGAGGTTCCCAAGAAGTCTCCTCCTACTCCTCTTCCTCCTCCTCCTCCTCCTCGCCCTCCTCCTCCTCCTCCTCCTCCTCCTCCACCTCCTCCTCCTCCTCCATCATCATCGTCCTCATCCTCATCATCATCCGAATCCTCATCATCGTCCTAATCATCAGCATCAGCATCATCATCATCAGCAGCAGCAGCATCATCATCACCATCATCATCAGCATCATCATCAGCAGCATCATCAGCAGCATCATCATCGCTCTCCTGGTCCTCCTCTTGCTCCCCCACGCGTCCTCCGAAGTCGTTCCGAACCGACACGGTGGAACAGCTGGCCCGATCGCTTGGCCAAGCTCTAGCTAGCCCAGCTGCCGGCCACGTGGGCGCTTCCAAAAGGGCAGGGGGCGGCGGTGATTCGCCATACACCCTGCGAGATGCTTAAGAAATCATGGGTTAAGAAATTCATAGTCTCAGAACTTGAATAAAAACCCAACCTTTCTATTCAAATCTTGGGATTTACATTGAAACATTAAGAATAATCGAGACTCTGGCCGAAAACTTAAGTTTTCTTAAGCATCGCCTAGAGCGTAGGCGTCTTCGAGACCGTAAACGTTTGCCCGCGCGGGCCCCATGCGGCAAGTCACTGCACGCAGCCTGGGCAGGCCGCTGCAGCGAGGCGGCAGCGCGGCGGCCACGAGGCGGCCACGGGCGGCCGCGTGGCGAAACCTCGGCGCACCCCGGGGGGCGCGGTGGGCGGCAGCGAGGCGGCCACGCGGCGAAACCTCGCGGCGACACCTCGGCGGGCCCGGGCAGGGCCGGAGTCACCGGAGGCAGGCACCCCCAGGTGCACGGCTTGAGCCAAAATGGCTGCTGCTGCCCCTGCTACTAAGACGGCCCTGAAGCCCCAAAAAGGCGACCACTATCGGGCCCCAGCCTTGTTCAGGGCTGGGGCGCGAAAGGCCCCCAAGATCGCCCAAGAGGCCTCCAAGATGGCCACAGGACGGCCCATGAGGCCCCCAAGACGGCCCCAAGAGGGCCCCAAGACGGCCCAAGAAGCCTCCAAGACGCCCAAGATGGCCTCTGCTCCTCGCTCCAAGGTTGGATAGATTGCCGCACGCGCGACGCCCCCCGGCCGACAGGCATGCCGCTGCCACCCCGGACGCACGTCCTCGGGACGGTCTGGGTGCCCTGGAGCACATCACAACAATAATTGCGGGTGCGCACAACCCGAGGTCACAGGAGGAGGAGCGCCACTCGAGCAAGCCTGGCGGCTGCTCCGCCCTCCCTCCCTCCTCTTCCTCCTTTCTGCCTCCCCTCTCTTCCGCTCCTGCTCCGAGTTGAGCGCGCATGCACTTATCCGGACTCCCAATTCAGCTCATGTGTAATATTGACTTGTCTGGCTGGTAGACTGCTTGTTCACTCCTGCCCTGCGAGGTCACCATCCCTGGCACAGTGCAACGCACGGCGCGCTCCCGCGGCCACAGAGCCCCCTGTAAACCACAACGCCTCGCAGACGACGGCGCGCTCGCGCTCCCGAGGCCTCGCGACAGGCCACACTTGAACGAAGGATTGCAAAAAAAAACAAACCAAGGATTGCAACGAAGGATTGCAAAAAGGATTGCAAAAAAAACCCTGGATTGCAATCCTGGGTTTTTTTGCAATCCTGGGTTCTTTTTGCAATCCTTCGTTTTTTTTGTTTGCAATCCCTCGCAGACTTCCGCGCGCTCGCGCTCCCCGAGGCCGCAGGGGCTTGAGATGCACCACGACAGCGCCCGCTCTCTCCCGAGGGGCAGCGCAGCTCGCGGCAGAGAGTGCCCGCCGCCCGCGCTCCCGAGGAGCCCCGGCCCCGGGGAGAGGACAGCACCTCCGCGCTCCCGAGGCCACGACCCAAGGGGCCCAAGGACACACAAATAGATACACACAACTAGAACGATTCCCCAT